AACTGCTAGATAAAATGTACTCATTGCTGGACTGAAATGTGAAAGCAGACCAGTTTCACAAAACAGAATAGGGCAATGGTTTACTATGTAAAAAATGGACTAGTAAAAGCTTTTAAATCAATGGCTATTCATAATATAAGACAAGGATTATCATTTGACAGATAAATTTACATTCAAAGGTAACACAATCTAAAACCATATTCGTTTCATATGCATATCAAATACTGCAGCTATCACTTATTATAACTGCTTATACCATGGATGCATTTGTTAGATCAAAGTATATAAAAAATCCATATATATTTATTCATAGAAAGATTATAGAGGTAACAAATAAAGCCATACTTGTCAATATGTCTCTCTTTATAAGGAATGCCCATCTAGTTTTGACAAATGCAACAGAAATAAAGAAAAACCCTTTCCTCAATACCACTTATTGGAAATTATAGCTCACCAATTAAACTGTTAGGGCTTCCCTAAGGCTCAATTGCATCCTCTAATTAAATAATCGAACAAGGCAGGCAAAGAAACAAGCAAAGCTTTAATGCTATGCTACAGACTGAATGAATTAATGCATATTATCAAAAAAAGTTTAAAGCATTAACTTAGCTTTCAAGATCAAATTTTGTCAAAGCTGCATAATTTAATGATGATACTCCCGGGCATAAACAGCATGGAAAAGGTAACATTTCTGAAGAATATAGCCATCCCAATTCCAAAGACTAGTTTGCTTCAGCAACAATTCAGCAAGAGGATTTATCAAGTAAAAAATAAATAAAGAAAAAAAGAAAAAAGAAAAAAAGGAAAGAAAGAAAAAATAAAGCTTTGTTACATGGGCACTAAGTGACCTACCTCTGGCACAGAGTGGTACACAGCCAGCAGTTGTTCTGTACTTTTGGGAGTTCGTGGAGATGAGTCTGAAGTGCCCGTGGTGGTAGTGGCCTCTGAGGTTAGGGAATAATTGGGTCTCATATAAAGATAATGATGGACACGGCCCTCACGAAGGTCCCCAGAACTTGATGCTGTAGAAGCCTGAGATGGGCGCCTGGAGCCTCCTGTTAAATGAAGGGTCATGTCCAGATTAGAAAGTGTCATGAGGGGCAGCACAAATAGAAAAAGTGAGCAAAAAATAAATTAAAAATAAATAATAATCTGCAGCTGAGGCCAACCTGAAGATGTACCAGATGTCCTGAATCTGTGGGAAATCAACGTGTTAATTTGATCGCTAGCAGGTGAAGGGTAAACCTAAAATGACTATAGACTCGAAACATGGCTATCCACCATTTTCTATTTCTATGAGGTCTACTTCTCTTAAGTAGACACTGTATGACAAAGGTAATCTAATCTACATAAATCTTACTTCATATGTTCAGAAAAAAGAAAAAGCTGAATGTCTAGTAAAGGAAAAGGAGATACACATCATAAAAACTCTAAAAATTTACAGTTTATATCTCATCTCTAAAAGCTTTTTAGATAATACACTTGCTGATTGCCCTTAAAAGCCTTGTATAAGTTCATAACAAAAAAATAAAAAAACAAAAAATGAAAAGAAAAGAGAAACAAAAATCTAGACTACTTTATGCCTCGTTGCAATATCATAAGAATAATTTCATTGTGACTATGACTAGAGCAAAACAAAAAACAAAAAATCAAGCAATAAAATGTTCTACACCATCTACTTAGTCACAAAGTGCAAAGGGGTTCTGGGATCAACTAGGGGATACCGTAGGTTGTAAGGAAGACAGAGGAAGTTGGTTTTAACCTGAGTTAGCTAGAGGTCTGCAATAGACAATCCAATCCATTCAACAACTGATCACTGCAAATTTTTTTTCTAGCCTTAAATAACAAAACCCAAGTAGTATATCTTTCACACAACATAGCCACTACCCATATTAAAATGGCAGCAGTAATTAGCAAAAAGACCCTAAAAAAAAAAAAAATCAGACCAAACTGTTCCGACATTTTGGTCTGGTAACATTTCCAGTGATATTGGTAATGGAGTGGACATCCACTGGCTTTAAATGAAAGGAATAGGTAGCAGGTCAATGGGGTATCTAGTGCAGACCTCTAGAATGTACGGAGGCAGGATCCCTAATGCACACGTAGTATCCAATCGGTTCTCCACGGCCCTCCCCTGCGACCAGACGGAGCGATGCTTGTGAAGACCTCCTGGTGCCTGTGGGAGAACATTGTGAGGTCAGGGAAAAAAATAATAAATAAACAAATAAAAAAAAAAGTGAAATTAATATGAAGACAGAAAACTGATGAAATAATAAGTATACGGAAAACAGAATTCATAATTACGAAGTAAAAAATTCTATATATCTGGGACAGGGTGAAAGAGAATGAGAGTTGAGGGAGGGGAGGAGGGAAGGGGAAGGAAGGGAGGAAAGCAAAGAAGGAGGGAAGGGAGGAGGGATCGAGGGGGAGGAATCGAGGGGGGAGGGAGGAGGAGAGAGAGGAGAGAGAGAGAGAGAGAGAGAGAGAGAGAGAGAGAGAGAGAGAGAGAGAGAGAGAGAGAGAGAGAGAGAGAGAGAGAGAGAGAGAGAGAGAGAGAGAGAGAGAGAGAGAGAGAGAGAGAGAGAGAGACCAATAGAAGCAGAAAAGCTTAATTATCGAAAGAGAAGGCAGTGAGAATCTAAAAATAAAATTTTAAAATTCAAATGGACAATAAAGACAGAATAACAAACACATACACATAAGATAAGTAAACAAGAATCACGAAAGTAATAAAATAGATGTTATTGAGTGTTTTATACATGATATGAAACAATGCATAAATGCCATTCAAAACAAACAAATAAGCTGTACAAAACAAGTGAAATGAATAGGAGAATATAATTCCAGACTAAGATAACAAAGAAAAATGTAAATAATATAAAAGATCAGAGGAAAAATAGGTATTGAACACTGACCTCTTTGTTTCAACAGCAACAAAGATCTGTTATCATTATCTACATTTGAATGAACATCTATTCAGTACATATGATATCTACCATTATGTGGGGAATCTATTTGCATCTATTCTTTATCATACATATGAAATCTACCGTTATGTGAATATATATTTACAGTTGCTGATAACAGGGTATATGAAACATATATTGTAGCAAACTAAAAGATAGTATTAATTTCCTTTTTTTATGTATTTTCCTATGGATATATGATTAATGAACCTATCACCAAGAATAATAATTAATCACAGAACAACTCAAATTTAATCTAGAATTCCTTTCTGATGATTGACATAAAAAATATTTACCTCAGATATGTAGAAGTATTAGAATTAAATGCATGCACATTTCAGTAAACCAAGTCAAATAACCCTGTATAGGCCTAAACAGAAAAAATATAATGAATGGAAAAAAATATATATGACATGCTTCTTTTACCTAGCTTTGGATTACTGTATCAATACTATCATGACCTCCATAATAAAAATAACTCATCCAGCAGCTTCAACCTTACAATTATGCAGTCTTAGAAATCACATACCACTGTGACAAATAAACAGAGAAAAAAAGTAGAAGAGCCTTTTAAAAATCAACAACAGGTAAAAACAGAAAGAAAGGGAGAAAAATGTTCACCCTGGGGATGGAGGGAGCTGTAGGAAGGTCTTCGGGATGAGGATGCGGATTTGGTAGAGCGCAGGGAATGGTGTCTATCCCTGGCCGGGCTACTGCTGGTGGAGGCATTGGCGGCCAGGGCAAAGGCTGCGTATGTTTCTGGTGGAGAAACATTTTGCTCTGTCTACAACACATTCTTTTAACCCTAATGACTTCACTACTTTGGTCTATCATCCATTAAAAAGATGATGGAAAAAAATCTGCATAATTTACTGAGTAGTGCAAACTGCTCAAAAAGTTAAAATTGGTTAGTTAAAATAGGTAAAGATGATATGGCTAAAATAAGTTGATGTACTATTGTCATAACTAACAATAAAAAATTACACAATGAAGAACTGAAAATCAAAACTTCAAAAATGACTTCTAAAAAGAAGTTTATGACAGTGACACATGACATAAAAGATGTGCAAGTGAAGACAAATTGCCCCAAAGTATGAGGCAAAGGTTCAATTCAACCACTTCACACACTTCCCAGTCACTTTCAGTTGAACTGTTATTTCCTTTTTGTTTTCATTTCTTATAATGTATATAAATCTATTAATCTTCCAGTTTTCTATGTTCTAACCCAGCCATGTCTAGGTCTATGAGATACAAAGTAATGTTATTGTCTATGCTGTAATCTAATGTAAATAAGCTACACTTGAAGTAGTGTTAATAACAAGACATGAAATGTATAACAATTCAATCTATCTGGAGGTGAGAAGAAAACTATGAAGTACTAACGTGCCCTCTTATATTCTAATAAATCTTACTAATTTAGCTTAACTGTCACTCCAAGCACTGATATTATTTACAAAGGGGTGCTACTTATAGGTCGCTTTTATACTATTTATATTTATGTATATATGTGGATCTAAATATGGTGCTACAGCAACGATACAGGTGTTTCAGTATTACTAAACTTGCTGCTATACCTACTTCTCCTTTTTCCTCTCTGAACTCTTATGCTAGAATTTTTCAGTAGTACAGACTACCTATTTGTGACTATACATGTCTAATAAATCATTTTGTTAATGCATTCAGTTTTTACTCTAGCATACCGAAAAACAATGGGAATCTAAATCTTATGGAAAATCTATAAGTCAAAAGGAAATACGTAAGACCATACGACGAGGGACTAATAGTGAAAACGTTAAGGAGATCGAAAATCCGCAAATTATCGAAAATATGAAAATCTAAGAAGACCAAAAATAGCCTTCTGGTGTCAAAATACATTTGGGAGAGCATGGCACAATGCAGCATCAGCAGCAGCAGCAGCAGACGCATGCGGGCGGGAGGGCACGTGTACCGCGAGAATTCTGCTGCAGGGAGGGTGTAGATCGGACCCCTCTGGCAGGTGACCCTTGGACCACCCCATGAGATGCCCCTGGGTTCTCAGGGATCACCCTCAGAGGTTGGAGGGAGGGCCGCTGTTGGGGGGAACCGCCGTGAGGGCCCAAGGTGGAGGCACGACGCTGGGGGTAACTCTGACGTCGGGCGTACACTTTGTGACCATGTGCATTAGCACACGCACGACGCTCACCTTCACGGCTTAGCTGACCTGAGACCCAACTTTACTTGTTGTGGCACACAACCTTCGACTCGTTATTCTACAGTGAGGGTGCAGATTATCTGAAGGTGACCTCAAAGTTGTATCAATCTATTATGCCAGGAAAGGTTTACATTGCTTTGGATATTTAGTACAGTTATGCATAATTCAATTCAACTATTTCAAAAAAAGGGGCAAAAAATCTCATCACAAGAATGTAAGAGGTCCATCTAATGTTTCTACATACCATGTAAAAGTACTTCCAGTCCTGTGTAAGATTTTGTGTTAAATATACACATGATGAGCGTGAAAAAACGTTTTAGTCTACAATCTGTATCAAAAGATACAACAGAGAAAACAACTGGTGACTCAGAGCCCGGCTACTGCTCTCCTACATCTTCCCTAAAGAGTCTACCAAGTCCATGGTATCCAAAAAATGTATAATAAACCAACTCTACCTTCTGCAATAAAAAAGCTATGGATGTTCTACATAAGTAATAGAGGTACAGTTTTTCATAACAGCTCACCAAGTATCCTATCGAAAGCAATATAAATTCATAATGTGTCAAGTATGTGTCCCAATATCAAACATCAAAGTGTTCCCTTCTGTTATGTATTTATTTCCAGTGATGTCAATAAATATGCAATCTGCCTTGTATATCACACAGTAAATTTGCTTCACCAGGGTTCCTGAAGGAGCAGTTGCTGGGGACACAACGGCACTCACCAGAGACCGTGAGGGGTGGGTTAATACGGGCGTCTGCATAACGACGAGGGCGAACAAAGCGGGCACGGGCGAAGATCTTGAGCACAAGACAGATGAGGGCAGACAACACGGACATGCCTAGACCCAGACCCAGTAGTGTGGGGACGTCTGCCTTCAGGGCTTCTAAGCCTGCCGGAGGGCACCAAGACAGTCAAAGGCGAGACAGCAACTATTGGAACAGTACAGAAACTACTATATACATGGGAGGGTGTGAGACGCACTACAACTAGGAGAAGTTTGGAGATCTGAAAAAAGTCTGAATGGGTATAAGAAAAAAAAAAAAAGGTAAAGGTGGGGTTACTAATAATCTGGAGATACATCTAGAGACACTAAAGATAATGAAGGTACATAATGTAGGAATGGAAAGAATTAATAACACACTAAAATAAATTCTCACTACATTATTATATGAACAATTACACTAACTCTACTGACGGTATACATAAGGCTGTCCAGTTAGCCCATCGACACACAATACAGTAAGTATTGGAGAAATGGTATGCTTTCTGGGGATTTTGGTAGCACCATATTGGCCATTCAGTAAGAGCAACGTAAAATACCTTCACTCTTGCAACCTCAAAATCTGTAATTCTAAAGAATTTGATTTCTTTCATCCCTAAATTATGAATCTGTTATTGTTTTCTTTTGCTGGGAATAAAGAAAACACTGGAAAGGAAAACCTTTTAATATAGAATACAACTTTACAGAAATCTGACTAATATTTTACCATTCACTCAAGTATTTTGCAAGACTTTTAGCAGTCATTACATATTTTTTACATTTTTTCCTAGTCTTCTTTTTTTCTCTCTCTTGTGCTTACAGACATACACAGATAAATAGACAGACTGACACACAAACACAAAGAGACACACACACATCCGTATCCACACACACACACACACAAACACACATTCCACTCTGAATTTAAATGTAAATATCTTCAGCACTATTTAAAATATCTGATGCTGAATTATCTTAAGAGTTGTTTGACAGTGATATTACTCTCTAGTTCCTATATATCAATGAATACATTTACAAACAGACCTTATATGATGAATAGGCAAATTCTGATATCAACTAAATTTACAAATGCTCTCCAAAAATATAGTTCAGTCTGATCTTTGCTAATCTACTAAATACCTTTTTCTGCTCTATTTCTTAACACAAAACAAGCTCTATACATCATTTCTATCTTTGAGAGAGCATATTAACTCATTGGATTTGGGTAATGTGAGAATCATGTCATGAAAAAATTTGGCTGAAGGCCAGAGACATGGGAATGTGATGTCATTAAAAATTTGGCTGAGGGTTTGGCTGCTGGGAATGAGTCTTCACCAGTACATAAAGCTTTAGGACCAATGTCCGGATCTTGGTCCTGGTGTGGGCCGCTCATCACTCTGACCCAATGGGTTATGTATTTTGGTAATGATTCAATTCAAAGTGAAATATGTAAAAGTGTGATTCATATCAATGCTAATAATATAAGGGTATTCCCATGAGAAAATACTCAACAGACTTACTAATAAGTAACAACTGAAATAATATTTGTAAACCTTGATAAAAAATCATTGAAACATAATGCAAATAGTTCACTGTCTTTCACACCAGAATAAAATGAAACTATGCACGATCTTTACATCATGATTCGTAAACAAAAATACCCAGCCGAAGATTCCAATTTCTTCTTCATAAGTCATCGATTTCATTGTGCACTGAAGTCATTCTTTATTGCAAGAGCTTAATATTAGAGTAAGATAAATTTCTTTTTTCCTTTAAGGATAATGAAAGCCTTGTATTTTCACTAATGGTATGATTCATCAGCATCCTTCCCTAATATGGTTGGTGATAATCAATAACAACATCAAAAACAACAACAATAACATCAACAATAAAAAAAATAATAACAATAGCAACAATAACAATAAAAGTTAGTATAACAAGAACAATAGCAATAGCAATAATAAGAACAATAATGATAAAAATAGTTATAGCAATAATAATAATAAATAATCACTAATCAATAATAATAATCACATACACCAATACAACAACCCAATAATAACCAAGAGTACCCAAACAACAAACGCAAATCTACCACCCACAGACGCCAGATACGAACCTCTTGCGCTAGCCATGGCTGACGCGCGCAATGCATCACCAGAAAACTCTCAACACGGCATCTCACACCAAATCGACACTCCCTCTCAACCGCAGTGCCTGCCTGGCGGGAACACGACGCCTGGTTGTGCTCTGGGGGTTGGCGCACCGAACTTAGACCGCCCGCCTGCGACCCCAGACGACCAGACACCCGCGAGAGCCAACACTCCACCAGTTCCCCCACTCACCTCTCTCGGCAACCATAGCCAAACAACAACAAATAATCAACAATAAATGTATTGTCAGTAACAATAAAAAATTAATTTATAATAAAAAGTAAAAAACAAATAGGAGTAATAGTAGCATAACAAATAATAAAAAACAATAAAAATAATCAAATAATAAACAATAATAAACAACAACATCTACATACACTATCATGATAAAGAAAATAATTACTATTAACAGTCAACATGTAATAATAACATTGAAAATAAGACTATCCAACCAATCTATTATACACAACAAACAACTTGGACAACCAAAAATCACTAACTAATATATCATAGAATGTAATAATAAAAATAATAATAATAGCATGGATACAGTCACTGATGATAACCATAAACAAAATAATACACACATCTATAATACAATACATTATATATGTACCTACATACATACATACACGACACACACCATATTATATATTACTTCATTATATATATACTTATATATTATATATACATATACTATATATTAATACTATAATATAATAATAACTATATATTACTATATATACTATATTATACTACTACTCACTCGTACTAATACTATAACTACATTACTCATATATATAATACATATTCAAATTATATATATATATACCTACTATATATAATACTATACTATAATATATATCATACATACGTTCATACATACATATATGTACTATATATATATATATATTTATTTATATATATTTCATATTATATACTAGTATATATATATATAATATATATATACATATACATTCCAGATTATTATATTATACTATATATATAATCATCATACGTATCATAGTATATATATTCATATAGTCAATATATATATCCTATATATTATACTATATATATAATATATATATATATATACTATTCATATATATATACTATATATCATATTTCATAATACTACCATATCATTAAAATACTATACTCAAATTATACTATAATTATATACCTATTATAGTTATATATCATATATATCAATAGACATATTATATACTACTATAATTCAGCTATATACTATATCAAATACTACTATATATATACTATATAATATAATTATATATATCTATATATATATTATAATATATTTATATAATATTCACACACACCACACACACAGTATTACTAGCTATATATACGTATAAATAGTATATATATATATAATTATACTATACGCTTATATATATGTACATATTATATATATAAGCTATATATATTAGATATATTATATATATTATATACTATATACTAACTAATATATAACATACTATGCTATACACTATGTATACTATATGCTGATATAAACAATATATATAATAAATACTTATATATAGGTATATAGTATATATACACACACATATACATACATCGATGACACTACTTATACTATAATATATACGTACTATACTATATCATATTATATATATATATAGAACTCATATAGTTATATATATATAGATATATATTATATATACTATATATTATATATATATCACTTACATAACTATATAGGCACACTACTATATAGACATATCAATATATAGACGATAACTAATATTAGACATTATACTATAATACTATAACTATATATATAGACATTATATATATAGACGATAATACTTATATATTATAATATATATACATTATACTATCTATATATGTATCATATTTATCTATTTTATACATATATCTG